AAATTTATGTAGGAGAATGTCCGACATAGGAGCGGAACCGCTAAAATTTTTGTCGGAATAGAGGAGGAACAGAGGATCGGAAAGGTTAATTTTGATTCTGAAAGTTCCTCTTCATTCCTCAAGAAAATGTTGTCTCTTTTCGCCACTATTTAAAAATATATATTTGAAATGAAAAATTATTTATTTTTTACCCCTTAGGGTTGCAGCAGTTGGAAACAAAAAGGTAAGACATATTCATTTATTTTTTTCCCGACCTGGTAAGGCAAGGAAATTCATATCATATTGGCCATATTAGATATCCATAGATATAATTTACAGCCCATAGCACGAGAGTAGGAACACGAGGGATATCAATGGAGAAATCCCGCCTGCTCGGACAAGCAGCATAATTATTCCCGTGATTTTGACAGGGGAAAAAACAAATAGAGAAGCAATTAGAGCAAGTCGCAGTTGCGAGAGCCATGGGAAAAAAGCTCAGTTTTCTTAATCTGCATTTAACAGTCTTAATGCATGAAATTTAAAAAAAACCGTAGAGTGAAGAAACAAACGGAGTTATTAATCAAATAATTATGCTCATTATTCATTAACACAGGTGGTTTGAAAAGCTATTAGTCATATTTTAGAACATTTACACATTGCACAACAAATTTGTACTTGCTGTACTCACTTCGAGTGAGATAAGAATCAGCCATCTAATAAAAAAGATATTACAAAAAAACAGCGATAGTTACCCGAAATGTCTCCACTCACACTGAAACTGTTTTGGAAAAACGAAAGCAAATATTTTTTCTGAAAAAATCCTAATTTTTTAGATGTCTCCTTGGGGCTTACTTTATCTGTGAGACGTTTCCCAGACTTTTTCTTCTCCCGTGAAGATCCAGGTGTAAAATGCTGAAGCTTAGTTAAGCAGTATTACTAGAAGAGTTAATTTCAAGGCAAATCATACATTTGACGCCGAAGTGGGAGTAGTCACTGGATATATTATGTACTAGAAACTGAATGTACAAGTCCATGTTTTTATTATAAAATCTTGCTCCTGATTTATCCGAGAAAAATGACTATATATATATACATCTACGAATGTACACATCCAAATCATGACCAATTGCGGGACGACTGGTTAGCTCTTTTGGATCATTGGACTTTGGCATCATTACCCTCAAAGGACACAAAAAAGTATATTGAAGAATCCGCAGTTTGGCCTTACAGCAATAATTAATTGCCTGGAATAGCAAGGCAGAATCAAGGAAATAAGAAGGGCGATTGCGAAATACCACACGCATGAACACATGGAATCGTTTCCGAATCCCAATCAACCCTGTCTCATGAACTGAGCTGAACCCGAACCCCCCCGGACAACCTTGACCATCTCATTCATCTCATTCGCCCAATGAGATGAGGTCCTGTTTGGTCTTGTTTTTGGTCTCCTGCCTTCTCTGTCGGCTCCCTTCACTGACCTCGTTCGTCGATTCATTCGCTACCGCTGTTAAGCACCAAGTGCGCTTTCTTTTAAACAGAGGATGAACTTTGAAAGTTTTTATCGTAATTAAAGAATCACAGCCAAGTAGGCTTTATGAATTGTAATTGACGTTCCAAGCAGTGACGCAACCATGGTTTTGCCCAAAAATGTGGGGAGGGGGGGTGGGTATGGATTATGGCGGACGCATTTTGACCAGGATTGGGGGGAACAAAACCAAACTTGCAGGGTGTTCACCCAGGGGCTGCGGGATTTGAAGAATACCTGGAGATAGAGGAAATCGTGCATTAAATATTTAAAATATTCAAACCCAAAGTACACCTGTAGTTTGGACCCAGCTTTGGACTACAACATATAGAGAAATAAGTGTTCCTTTCGAAAATTGTCAATGGTGAATGCATTATTGTACAAGCGAGAATGAAAGGCACAGTTTTTGAAGAGTGTATGCTCAGTATATGCTCAGAATTCCTTCGAGGAGGTATTATTTTATATCTGTTTTTAACCGCGTCTTCTTAAAATAGGATTTGGTTTCTGTATTGAGTACCACGTTCACGTTTTTAAATTTAAATCAAGACAGGACTAACCGCCGTATCAGTCTCTAACGTTGTAGTGAAACTTTTTTTATTTTACAAACCTTATCGGTATTTTTTTCCAGGTTCGGTGACCGGATTGAGCTACAGGATCCCCGCAACCAACTAAAGGGATTGCCGACAGATGCAGGAATTTCGGAAATACGTTCATCGCCCGACGACATTTCGGGATTGAAAAAACTCCAGGACGACCTCAGAAAGAAGCGATTGGGGAAGGAAGAAGAATCCCTGCAGACGGCGACGCCTTTGCTCGAAAATGTGGCTGCAGAACAGAAGATGAAAACGGGTCAGATCCACGAGTCGGCATATAATCTCTTCAGAAACGAATTCCCGACGATCGAGTTCTGGTACTTTGTGTGGAGATAAGGGACGCAGAGGGAAATGCAAATAGTCTGAATTTTATATGGGCTTGATGGTTACAAATAAATATTTTCGGCGTCAATCGAATCAGAGAATCAGGTTGAAATGTCCATTAACTCGATCTATCCCTTAGGGCACGAGAAACCGTCTGGAGAAAATCAGGAAATCCTGGAGAAACTGGAGGAACGGATCGAACGCGTGAAGAAAGTGGATAAACCCGGCGCCGCCCCATCTCAAAATGAGCCGGAACTTCTCGTGAGTTGGATGGAATTTTTCTGCGCCGAGAACGAGATGTTTTTTTTTTTAGTCCTAAAATATGCGCATACATGTGTACTTAAAAGGGTCAATTATGCATGAAATATGAACAATAGTTGGAAAATGTGCAAAAAACTTGCGTTTCTAAGTGCGGAATGAATTCTTCGGAAGAAAGATCTATAGTGTGCATTTCATAGCGCCAAGCTCTATACTTTCCCACGGAGTCAAGTATGGAGAAGTTCGGCGATTAGATCAAGTGTCTATTGGACATAACAGGTTTATTCTTGTCTCAACCAGTAGCGTGGCCAGGAAATCGCCGATGTGTGTGTGGGGTGTGTGTGTCTGTGTGTGTGTGTGTTTGGGGGGGGGGACTTGAATTTCTTCTACTTCTACTCGGAGGGGGGATGTTTTAGAGCGGAATTGGGATGGCGTGAAGCAAACTAAGTGAGCTTTACAGGACTCACCCCAGTTCTGTTCTTGGTACGGCACTGGTCACATCATACGTCTCCTGGAAGTGTTCTACTTTTTAATCATAATGAAAACCCGGTAGGCCTCTGTAGCTACGGCATACAAGACCATAGTTAACGCCGTGCAGGGCCGGCCCTAGCTATAAGATATTTCCGCGCCCTGTGCAGAGAGACTCCCGAAGCGTTCTCGAATGGAGAAGGGTCAATCCCTAGCGTTCGAATTCACGCCGAAACGGAAGGCATTTTCACTTTCTGAAGTAAAACTGAGGGTGGCATACATTATTGCTTCGTATACCTGGTCACGTTTTGGCGCCCTTGGTGATAGAAGGGTCAATCCCTAGCGTTCGAATTCACGCCGAAACGGAAGGCATTTTCACTTTTTGAAGTAAAACTGAGGGTGGCATACATTATTGCTTCGTATACTTGGTCACGTTTTGGCGCCCTTGGTGAATTTGGGCACATACATGTTGTATGAAAATGAATAATTATGCATAAATAAGCATTTTGCGAAATATACTTGTAAATTTTAGGAGAAATAAAAATTTTGCAATTAAGTGTTTGGTAAATGTGGAAATCGCTTCCTCTACTAATAAAATATGACCCATTCTGTGTTGCATGCTCCTACGTGGCTGCAGGAAAAACATGTATCTTTGCCGTTTTGGAAATGTGGGTACCCAAAGTCGTATAATGGCATTCCACTGCATGAAATGGCGCTCAAATTATGAAAATGATGTGCGAACTATTAGGACTCAGTGAAGTGTGTGGAATTGAGACTGTTAACCGATCGCAAGTCGTTGAACGAAATTGCTCATAATGGCATTCGCAATATCTGGATTTACTCCTGCGACATCACAGCGACTGGAATTCGCACTTCGGACAGCAAACGTGCTATGTTCTTGATGATCTGCCAAAATCGACTCTCTCATGCGTAATGCTCCTGGCAAAAAAGGAGATGCTGGCATATCTTGACTGTTGATTGCACAGGAAGGACGATATCGCTGCACGCGTTTCTTTGAGAGGATTCGTCTTGAGAGTGTTATTTTGGCAGTCGGGAAAGGATTTACTTTTTTTGCGAAATTCTCTCATGGAAGAACAAGCTGATGTGTCTGACGGTGCTGAAACTTCTCTTCCAGGGGAACGTCGAAACGGTCGTGCAGACGATTCCAGGGTTTCGTCGCGAGGATCAGAGGCACGTCGACGAGGTCAGGCTCAATTTATCTATATTTATTGCATTTCTTATCACATTTTACTAAGAGACGCGGTGACAACACCTCACCTCAATCTTCTGTCTCTCTCGCAGAATGCGCGACGGAAAGAATTGCAAGAACTTGCCAAACTTGCCAAACTGCCAAAACATAGGCGAAAGAGGAAGGAGAAGCAAACGAGCCGTTTCAAGGAAGGAAAGAAACTACTTACAAGGTACAACCTTCTCATTAGCCTATTTTTTGGAGGCAAAATATTTCCAAATGTATTGCGATCCAGGAAAAAGTAATTCCCACAGTTATGATTTCAATATAAACCTTACTTTTTTGGTACATCCCTCATAGCACATAATAGGCCGGGTGGGGAGGGGGGGGGGAATATTTTCAGAAATTATTTTTTGTCCCAGCGAAGCAGACAAATAAAGAATGAGAAAATGGATGGCTCCAGTAGTTTTTTTTTCTCAGAAATGTCTGACTTTAACGAAATGGGCACATATGGAGAGCCAAAAGGAATTGGCAAGTTTTTGCCCCTCGACCGATTTTCATTATGTGTATCATTCTGAAGGTTGTACTTCGCCAAGCTAAAAAATTTAATTTTAATAAAATCGGAGCTGTTAAAAAAAAGTTATAATAGGCTAGGTTAAGTCAGAGATGATCCGTTTTACAATTTGAAATGCGCCATCGAATGAATGCGTGACGAAATGGGAAAGACAGGCAGCAGCAGTTTATAGGCCCACGAACTCACAGCTGTGTTCATGGGAGATTAGAATTGAAGGGCTGAAATGCAAAGCTTAAAAGTGAGAAAACGTGGTATGTATCGATAGAGCACTTCCTCCTTTACCTAATTAAAAAAATATATAATTTTCTGTGAAAAGAAGTTCATAAAGCACAAAAACCAACAACACTTTTTTTGGAAATTTTCTAGATAGACCACTTTGCCTTTCAGCCCTTCAATTGTTTTCCGTGTCCTCCACGGAGTAAGGTTTTTCACTCACGTGCAATCGAAGACAATATTAATGTGGATAAAATAATTAATTTTTATTTATTTTTATATTCTTTTTCTTTTACAATGTATAACGACTCGGACCCTCGTTGGCTTCAAAGTGATAGCTCTTTCACGTGAAAGAAATCATTAGTCGAGAAATGAAGGGTCTGGAACGGCTGAGAATGGTTTCGCCACAGTCGCGAACGAGCCGTGAACCCGCATATGCCCCATGCTTAAACGTCAAGCAGGACGATGATTTTTTCCGCCAGGATTTTTTTCGCCAGGAATCCCGAAAGAAGCACAAGTTCAAAGCACAGACGTACGTCGACCCGACGTTCTGCGACCATTGCGGCTCGCCTCTCCATCGAGGAATGAAATGCGAAGGTCGGTCCGGATATTTTTACTTTTCTTTGTCTTACAGGATATTTTTTACTTATTTTTTGCCTTACAGGATATTTTTGGTTTAACAACTGCCGTCAGACTGAGTTCCCACAGAATTGCAGAAGGCCTGTATAAGTAATAGAAGAAAATGTTACAGTTCCCGAAGTCAATCTAAGGATCTCTTGAGAAATTTGCACAGTGAGCATTTTGGAAATGCGAAATCACTCTGTAATCAGTGAAAATGTTTTTTTTACTTATTAGTTCATTATTCATTTGTGACGCTTCTTATTTCAGAAACACTCAAGCAATTCTGTCCGTGAGCTGAGGAGTGTCCCCGATTCGGAGGATATCGTGCCAATATTGTTGAGAAAATTTGAAGAGTTTGCCGACGACAACGCCCAACTCAAATTTGACAATGCACAATTCAAGCTTGACATTGCACAATTGAAACGTGAGAATGCCAACTTGAAGCAAGACAATGAAAATCTCAAATCCCACCAGCAGGAAAAAGACAACGATCTTAAACTTCGAGAGCACACCGTGGAAGAAAGACTCCGATATCTGGAAGCTATCACGAGACAAATTAGTGAGTTCTACCATCGCTAAAATGGCTCGACCTGATCTCCCAAAATGTGGAAAGACTCGCATCTTCCCTATGCGACAGCGCCCCGAACGTGCCAGACCCTAGCAGACCTTGGGGTGACGCTCTCTGGAACCTACCTCGTGGACCCGGATGGCGTTTTCATCGGGGATCCACCCATTCAAGTACTCTGTGACATGGGAACAGGTAAGCGTCGGGAAACGCAAACCCCCCTCCCCCCCTCGATTACGCAGAGGCTGCCATTCGTGTGTGCTATGCTGTGCTTGTATTGATTCAGTTATTGTGTCACTCCTTTGATTTATTTTATTTTTTTTGTGGTCTCAAATAGTTCATTACCATAACTAAGTGACAAGGCATCAGTTTGTCGATCCGTTTTGCCAATTTATGCCAATCGCGAGGAAACATTCAAATAATTAAATGCGAATAGGCTGAGAAATGCTTTAAGAGTCCATTATTCTTCTGCTACTCATGATGACCAGCCAACCAATGCCATTTTTTGAGCAGATCCAGTATCCACCATCGTCCTACACGACTCGATGGAAAACACGGAGATAGATCATTGCCCTGACCCTGGCTCTTACAGTCGCAGTATTACCTATGATGCATCCCTGAAACAGATAAAGGCATTGATCGACCAGTCGGAGTCATGCGAGCAGCAAATAACAGTGAGTCCATCCTTTCCCCTAGGGCTTTTGACAGCGTCCTTTCCCAATCCACGAGCCTTCACGAGGAAAGTCATGTTTTAAATTCTCGTGTTTCCTTAGCCAATTGCATGCCAAACCAATTAGGTTTGGGGTTGTCCCGCTGTTTGCTTCTGTTTCCAGTCGATTATGATTGTGCAACTAAGCTAAGACTGAGGGGGATGAAGCTCTCTGTCCGTTTTCATTTTGAGTTCAACTGGCAATCAAGCGGTTAATTCTCTGGATGGGTATTGGTCGGACTCGACCAAAAATTAGAGTCTGGGATTTGTAATATCAACAGCCACCATTCAGGAGGGTCGCTCAATTGGAAGGACTTCAGAAGCTATCTTGCAAATTCTAAGCGTCCGTGTCTCAGGGGATGGTTCCATTTTCTAGAATACATATTTGACATATGGTTGATTGATACATATGGCATGGACAAATATATGACTTATGTAACCCTCTCCGCACTTATCCTTAAAAAAATAACACGACACTCCTTAATCTACTTTGTATTGTCCAGGACATACGAGACCATTAAACGAGATTCCTTACACCAGACTGGTGACTTTAGTTTTCCATCCCGCCTTAAATAGTTGCCTACTTTCATGACTAAGTCATGACTGGGTTTCGTTTCAGTACAACTGTTTCACGATTGCCCTGACTACTAATGACGTACATTACGCTTGGTGGATGGACCGTCACGACGAACCTCAATATTACTGGGATGGTTCACACGCTGGGGAACACGTATGCAACTGTGGCCTCACTGGGGACTGCATCGACCCCATTGTGCCGTGCAACTGCGATGCGGAGGCCCCCCAATGGGAGTCGGATGTCGGAGCAATCACCAACGGGACAGCACTGCCCATTACCGAGTTGCGATTCGGGGGATTTCGGTTTGAGGGTCAGAAGACGAATTACATTCTGAGAGGAATGGTCTGTAGGGGGAAAGCTCCACCGTTAGACAATCCAGCAGAATCCTGTTAAACTCTTCGTCAAACTGGAAACTTTCATCCCGGTTATTACCTGGTCGGCAATAAAGAAGGACGGCTAGATTTTGTCATGTGTAGGATGGACTTGGAGGAGACGGACCCGGAGTTTCAGGTGGAGACCAGTGCCCGTCTTTCGGGAGAAGTCGTTTATTTCAACGCCTATGGAACGTCGGGAAGTGAGGACAGCGTGCTCCACTTCGACGGAACCGAAGTGAACGTAGGCGAGGCTATGGATCCCGGCAGTGGAATTTTTACGGCCCCCATGGATGGAAATATATGTTTTTCATTTTCACTGTGTGTCTCGTGACGCTACCACATTTATCTTACTGAGAAAAAATGAAGTAAGGAGCGAAGAATTGCACTCTGCCGATTCCAATCACGCCCAGACACCAGGACAATCAATCCTTCTGTACCTAAACAAGAGTGACAAAGTCGATGTCTTCTTGGAAAATGGAGCGATTACTTATCCCCACACCTCGCGTTTTGTGGGTTATCTGTTATACCCAATGTAAAAAAAGGGATGAAAACTCTTCGCTGTCTTTAGATAAATTGTGCCTGCATGTTCGAGACTTTATTGGTTTCCTTTTTTCCTTGTTATCCATACCACAGCATTCACTCACTCCGTTCTAAAGGATCTGAACTCCCTGGAATCATCGCCAAAAGAATTCCCAGGTTTCATGGCGTACGAACTCACAGGTCACGTCTGTCAGGACATTAACCATTCACATCAACCATTGAGTACTGGCACACGGATGCTCCTGCTTACCTGTAGAGAATATGTTTCAAGTCATAAATGCGACTTTGATACCGCTCATTCCAACTTAATGGGGTCATGGCTGGAGCCGGCCCAGAAGCATCTTTGGGGGTTAGCGAAGCTGGGCAAGAGACGCGAGTTTGGCAGGCGGTAATCTGCCTTTCGTGACAAAGATTTACGATGTAGTCCGTCGACCTTGAGCTAGGGCTGATCTTTCGCCAGTCACTTTAGACCTGAAGTCTCTCCTTGGGAATATCTTGGGAGAGGCGCAAAAGACGCGTAAAATCCAACGGCTTTGGAATGTCTCGATTCGAAGTAGCCGATCGAGCTGGAAGTCGACGTGGATGGCAGCGCCTCGCGTCCTCTCGCTCGATGTGACACCGGCCGCCCACAGCAACATCTCAGAAGACCGTGTCGGTCGGAATCTTTGGGTCATCGGTCTTTGGGTGGACGCGTCGATCCTCAGGATAGCGAGCAACCTTTAACTGATCGATGAAATTAAGCTCTATCAGGATCCCGACTCGAAAGATCTTTTCACTCTGTATAAAAAAAGGACTGATGCCCCTGACAAAGCCGGACGCGGCAGATGCATTATAGGCTCAAAATAAACTTTCTGAATGATTATGCATGATCCTCAAGAAAACGCCCCAGTGAAAAGGCCAATGAGAGTGAAACGGGCCGGCAGGATGATCCTGCAAATGCCTTGCGCAATTCAACTTTGTTGAAAGAACTGGAGCCTCGGGTCGAAGGCTGTCATGCGATCTATGAAAGTAATGAAATTTGCACTCGACGGAATTTTCCTGGATTCCAAGGGTATCTAATAGGGATGCAAGTGCAACCGCAGATCTTCAACGAATAAGTGGGTAAAGAAGGCATACCATTTCGCGGCATAAAATGTTACCGACTCGATGGCTTTTTATTATTTCTATCTATTTATATGTTTCTTCGCTTCGGCGAGCAAGAGGGGATAATAAGCTATATCATGAGCTTCCTCCATCAGGGTACGTAGAGGGCGAGAAGCAAGAAACCGAATCGAGCTCTCTCTCGTACCATTGCCAGTCATCCGTTATTCAGGATATCGCGTTTATGATGTTATTATCTCGCATTCCCCGCCACGATATACTTGCTCGGATGTGCACTGCCAGCCGACTCGCATGGGCGCGTCATTTCATCTGTGGCGGTCATTTAGTACTCGAGTGCGACGGTTCACCAGCCGGCCTCGCGCCAACTCGCATTGACGCCTCGCGCATCTCCCAGTAAGTAGATCGAAAGAACTGGTACGACCACGTGAAACCACGAAAGTCGCATCCGCATGGCGGCAGTCTCTTCTCCCCGACTCCAGCCATCGAAAAACTCTCCTCCACGATCGCGTGAGAATCTCTCACGGCCGAACGAAAAGCGGGAAAAGCGCAGGAGGCCTCAAGCCCAGAATTCCACCCTGGCGCTAAAATCGCTTCTCGCCTCGCCCCTGGCCCAGTATGGATCCCTCCCCTTCAGCCTCGAGCGATCCGCGCCACCTAAAACAAATTCCGGATTCCAATAGGCCTCGTGCGATTCAGGTAGAGACATGTCGAGGGGAGCCTGGGTAACTCTGCTCGTTGGGATGGATTTCCGATCAGTGTGGAGAGTTTTAGTCATGCAGAATAACCCACGTTTTCAATAATTTCGCAACAGATTTGCTTCATCTACCCTAGGATGAATCGTACCGTGGATGTAACCATACTTACACGAACTGCCCGAAACTTTTT